CAGGAATGAGATGGAGCTGGAAAGGTTGGTAGGGCCCAGACCATGTTGAACTGTGAAGGTCACGGTGAGGAATTTCCAAGAGCAGTGAGAGAATTTTGGAGTTGCATTTGGCCACCTCAAGAGATAACTTCCACATTGTGAGTAGTCAACTTTGCCAGTGATCAGAGAGGAAGCACAAGGCAGGCCAGGAGGATCTCTGTGTACAGGCGAAATAAAAGGCATTGTCCTTGGGCCTCTCTTAGCCCCAGGGCACTTCAAGGAGTTTAGAGGACACTGTGTATCTGGTTTAAGATCCAGGTGGAGCTTGACCTGAAGTACCAACCCCCAGAGGGTGCCACTGGAGCCTGGGCAGAGGAGGACTTTGGGGCACTCATTCATGAGAGGTATCGCACTCACCCCCACAACCAACCTAGGGGAAAAAACCTGATATTCTCAGCCTGGTCCAAGCCCAGGAAGGAAAAAGTGGTAGGTGCCAGGTGCTATGACCTTGGGACATGAGCTGACTGAGTTGCAGTCCTGTGGTCAGGCCTGGCTCTCTCTTATTCCTTACATTTTTCCTCCTCTCAGCTCAGAGCTGATCATCCCAAATGTGGGCTTCCGGGAGCTGGAGTAAGTATGTAGGGATGAAGTGGGGTCACTGGGGTCAGTCTTGAGATGAGAAGACAGTGATTTGGGGCCATTCCTGGTGTCTAGGATCAGTACTAAATCAGTTCCAGGATCAAGGGTCAGTTCTAGAGTCAAGGGAGGGGGTCCCAGGATTTGGAGTCTGTCCTAAGATGAGTGGGTAAGTCCAAGGATCAGGGGTCAGTCCTAGAGTTGGGAAAGTCACGGAATGCCCAGAGATGAGTAATAGGTCCCAGGTATGTCTTTTGAGGTTCTTTTCCATCAGGCCAGGGGAGGTCCGGCTGGAGCGGCGGGCAGTGGCTTTGGGCCGCAAGCTAGTCCGAGGCCTAGGTCAGCCAGAGGATGAAGAAAACGAGCTGGAGCTAGAGCTGGAGCTGGAACTAGAGGACGAGCCTGATGTGGAGCTTTCTGGAGTTGTGTTCAGTCCCCTCAAGAGGTGATTTGTACCCAACACACACCTGCTCCCACACCCTACCAATGAGTCAGTCTCCCTGCTCACACAGGCTGAGCCACACCCATCCACTTTCACAAACACACATCCCAGGGTATGGGTGAAGGGTAGGTACTCTGGGGTCAAGGGTTGCTCACTCATGGGCATAGATGCTGTTCATGCACAGTTACATTGGTGACAACAGCTTGATGAAGACAAGGAGTTGGTCTCCTTTGTTTATGGCAATGTTTCAGCCTAGAATGGTTATGACCCATAGTAGGTCCTCAATAAATCTTTATTGAATGAATGATTTCAGGGCACCAGAAATGTATCACATTTTGGTTGTAGGGTGGAAATAGAGGCAACAAGACCCAAAGAAGTTGGAATACAAAATTCAGGGGGGAGAAGAGACCTCATTCCCAGCACCAAGCAAGTGTGAATGTGTGGGCAGAGAGGGGACAAAATGAGAGCTGACTTCTCCTTTGGCCCCTCCCTGCTGAGCCAGACCCGGAGCCCCTGACATTGTCCTTCTCTGCAGCCGAACCCGGGGCCTGGCTAGCGGGGATCCCTTCCAAGTGTCCAGAGCCCAGGACTTTCAGGTACTGGTCCAACCCTTGGGAAGTACCACCTGTTCTACATACACGGGCTCCTCGTGCTCCAAGTTACCTGGGAAGGACAGCTTCCTTTCCTCTTTCTGTACCCCTCAGGTAGGGGTCACTGTGCTGGAGGCCCAGAAGCTAGTCGGAGTCAACATTAACCCCTATGTAGCTGTTCAAGTTGGGGAGCAGCGCCGAGTAACTGCCACACAGCGCGGGACCAATTGCCCCTTCTACAATGAGGTGGGCCTAACCAGAGAGGAACTGAGAGAATGGGCGGGACCCAGATAAGAACGAGGGGACGTGACCTGGGTGGAATCACGCCAGCCACGGTGCCTATGGAGGGGAGGAGGGGGTAGACTGGTGGGGGTAGACTGGCGGGAGTCAGGAGGGAGGAAGGTGTTCTCTCCAGAATAGGCAAGCTGGGCAATCCCTTCACAACTCATCTGTCATCTTCCTAACCTTTTCTCACTCTCATTTCAATCCAGTACTTCTTGTTTGAATTTCACAAGACCAGGCATCACCTCCAGGATTTACTGTTGGAAATCACGGTGAGGGGGTTAGGGTGAAAGGGTTCCATTAGAGAAGGGGGATAGGAAAGTTCTGAGACTAACGCCACCTTCCTGCAGGCTTTCCATTCGCAGACCCTCCCATTTATGGCCACTCGGATAGGCACATTTAGGATGGACTTGGGCATCGTCTTTGATCAGCCAGGTACGGAACCTTCCCCTTACTGAGACTGCATACACAAGGACCCCAGAAATGGACACGATGGGCGGTGACCCCACAGACTCACAGATAGCTCTCCTTGCACTCGGGCTCCTCCCTGCGGAGCCAGACAGGAGCCCCTGACATCCCAACCTGGATCGCAGCCTTACCGCCACATGGCGCATGCGGCTGGGCTCATTTGACCCCTGCCTGCCCCTCCACCCCCAGATGGCCACTTCTATCAGAAATGGGCTCCGTTACATGACCCTCGGGATACTCGCGCCGGGACCAAGGGCTTCGTCAAGGTCACCTTGTCTGTGAGGGCACGCGGGGACCTGCCCCCTCCGCTGCCATCCCCGGGCCCAGAACACAGTGTGGACATTGAGAAGTGAGCTGGGGTGAAGCGGGGAGCAGACTAGGACGAGACGTGGCCTTGCGGGCGCGAAGAGGAGGGCTTGAGGTTCCAGCTTCTCGGCCTCTCAGCGTGCCCCTGCCCTAGGAACCTGCTCCTGCCACGCCGGGTGCCCGCCGAGAGGCCCTGGGCGCGGCCCCGCCTGCGGGTGGAC